GTATGGGACACAGCCTGGGCTGTGAAACAGCTCTTACTCATTCACTTGGGCATTATGTGGACACCTCAGCAGCAGAGAGACACAGCTATGGAGCTGAGTTTTCTTCCCTTAGGATTTGGTTATGATTTGCAACACTGGCCACCCAGCAGCCCACACGCACTGGCCAACAGAGCCATCAGCATCATTGCCTTGTTGCAGGATGATGCTACTTTCTGTTCCTCTGGACCAATAAGCTGCTTTTCACCCCAGCTGAGCTGGGGTTAACCCAGCAAAGGAGGCAAAGTGGTGGTAAGGCAGATGAGGAACTGCCTCAGGAGCTGTGCTCAGTCCTGTGTCTCCAGAAGCCTGCTTGCCTACAGACCTGCCTTGAGGCTGACTTCAGCATCAATGGCAATAAAGCCTGACTCCAGCTCTGCTTTCGTCTGGATGGTTCACAAGAGCTCTCACTTGTGTGGGTTCCTTGGTGTCTGGCAAACCACAAGGTCAGCTACAGCTGTTTGCTCAGAAAAGTTACTGAAAAGGGTCCTTGTCTCCATCTGGCTATATCCACTTTCATGACATTTATACAGACACAATTTTCTTTGAAAGCTCTGTCCCGCTGCCAGGTCAGACTGAACTTGGACAACATTTTACAGTCAACGTGGAGGGGACGTTGCCAGCTCAACCTCCCTGCATGCTCAAGCCAAACAAGGCAATAAGCAGTTACCAACAATTAGCTTCCCATCTTGGAAGACATGGGGAGAGAAGCCCAATATGGGTCTACTCTGATTAGATATAATTCCATGGGGTTGTTTATAGGGCAAGGTGTAACAGTTTTAAATTAAAAGAGGGTACATTATAAGAGGCTAGATATAAGCAAGAAATTCTTTATTGTGAGGGTGGTGAGGCACTGGAACAAGCTGCCTAAATATCTGAGTGCACATCCCCTTCATTCCCCGAGATATTAGTTTTGGAAGGATGGCCAGGTGCAAAGGACAGGGTTGGAGATGTTACATACTCCAAGGGCTCCTGTGGAGAAGGCCCTGGCCTCACTAACTCCTACCCAGCCTGGTGCACAGTGAGGCTTTTCTGCAGAGCAAGTTGCTTTTGAAAATAAGACACTTTTTCCCAAAGTACTGATAGCTACAGGGAAATTGTAGAATACCTACGTAGATCATAATAGGTTAATTTGAAAATTTTCACCTTTGAAAACCAGGCTAGACAAGATTCTGTCAGCAGGCAGACAAGCCATTCTGTCCAGGCAGACAAATTACACTAATTAATCTCCTTCAGCATATTATTTTGATCTCTGATTGATAAAAAACAGAAATCTTCACACTTTCTTTTTTTTTTTTTTTTCCAGAAAGGGACATTTTATTTATCAACATATACAAAAAAATCCAACCCCACTTCTTTCAACTTGACTTTGACTTCAGGAAATCATGATCATGCTGGGAACTTCTCTGATAATTCTGTCAGTGCTTGGAAATCAAATACCCTGGGGCCTTAAAAATGCCATAATCAGATGGGTTAAACAGGTAGGCAGACATTCATGAACCAGAGAGCTGGCAGGATGCATTGGGTAGAAAAGTCTTTAAAAGAGATTCTCTTAAATAAAAGACAATTATAACAATATGTGACCATAGCAACAGTGAAGCTGGATGCAGAATGGAAGAGGTAAATATTCCCTTTAGCAGATGGATATCTCTCCTGTCTTCCATTGAAATTATGTGCTGAAAGGCTAACATCAAAGACTTGTTCAGCAAATTGTTATCTCCAAATGCTCTGCATACACACAACTTCCCTGAGCCTTGGAAAAACCTTTTTTTTTTCATTTTACAATGCAAATGCTGTTTCATGGGATGCACTTGAATTAGTTTTTAGAGACCAAGCCTGGAAAATCTACAGAACAGCAAGGTTCTCTCCCACTGGATCCCCTTTGGCAGTGATGCGGATCTCCCTGCCATCCCTGAGGAGATCCCTGCTGTTCACTCCTTCAAGTAGTTTGGCCCCTCTAAGCTGTTGTTAAAGAATAAGGTTATGAAAACAGGGACAGAGAATTCTTTGAGAAATAAATAACATAGCTGCCTGTTTTTCTTTGTGCTGCATTAGTTCCTCTTGGAGTAACAGAGGGCACAAGAGTTTCTCTTCCTTGTGAGATCCAGAGCCACCACCCAAGAGTCTGGGTCCACCATGGCCACATAAGCAGAGAAAAACCGTCCCACTGGCAAAATGAGGTCCTGATGGTCTTTTATTTCAGTATTTACTCTTCCCTTTCGATTCCCTGCGTGGAGTATTTCCAGGTGACCCTGTGTGAGTCAATAAATAATATATCATCCCTTGATGAAAAAAAACTGGCTATGTCAAAGGCGCCTTTCAGTCTGAGGCTGGCTGTAGTTTATCTCTTACCTTCAACTGGCAGTTTAGAAACATTACGACAATCAGATAACCAGAAATGAATAAGCACTTCGATGGTTCAATATCTTACTCCACAAGTGACAATAAAAAGCTCATAACTTTTCCAATGGCATATTTGTATGTGCAGCAGGCAGGGCAGGCAGAGTTTCAGGGTCTGCTGACACCAGAGAGGTGGTATGCACTGCCCACCTGCGGGTCACACGTCTGCTGCTTAAAGAAGAAACTACAAGCACAGTTCTCCACAACGTGTTTAGGACTTCCCTGTAGAGCTTCAGACCACTCCTCTATACAGCCTAAGGTTATTTTTCCAGGGAGCTCATTAGGCTGCAGACAAAAAGCGCTCCCTTTGTCTTAACATTTTCCAGGTAGAAAAAATGAACATGATGTACAGATGTGGCAGGACAAGGTTAGAACCCACAATTTGTGAGCCCTTCCTGATGTCCCAAGCTTGTCCCTCTGTCTGACCAGCCTGAATTCCAATGGGACATACAGCAGAAGTTTTATAAAGCCTCAAGGAAAATGCATGTCTGTTTCTAATGGAAAAGGGAGGTGGTGAGGTGCAATAGGCTGCATCCCTGATATAAACAAGGCAACAGATCTGCAGCAGCTCTGCAGCGGTGATTTTAATTTGCCTCTGAGTGCAAATGTGGTGCATACAGACAGCAAGACTGGAAGCAGAGGAAGTGGTAATCTCACTGCTCTCCAAGATGCCTTCCCCAGAATTGCACAGCGTGTGACTTCAGCCAATTTTTCTGGTGGCAGAACTTAATTGATGCCAGAGGAGCCTTTCGGCTGCGTTATTGCTCATTCCATGCTAATCCTCCACTGAGCCACCTGTATGGAAGGAAACACTGTGCGTGTTCTGAAAGCAGAGACATTGTTTTCCAAGATTTTTTCAAGGTTTTCAGCCCTTTTTAGTCTTGAGGGGTGGGAGAGGTTGGTAACTGCTTGAGAGGCAATAGACCGCAGATCCAGGGAGGAATGAGCAAGCAGCAATGCAGGGCTTAATTGCCCACTGGGGGTTAAACCAGGACACCCCACAAAGCGTGCCAGGATGGGATTCATTCACCGGTGTTTGCCGGAGCGGGGAGGGCGCGGCGGGCGGTGCTGGCAGCGCCAGGCATCTCTCGGCTCCATCAGGTGGCGCTGCGGCACCGGCGGGAGCCGCTCTCCTGGGACGGGGAGAGGCGGACACCGCGCACCCCCAGAACTGCGGCTCCTGCATCGCCTGTATCCACAGCTAATGCGAACCCTCAGCTTTTGCCGAAAGGGAGAAGAGTGAGGGAGACAGAAGGAAAAAAAAAAAAGGAATTAGGAGAATGTGACCAAAGGAGACGTCAGAAAATGTTTCCCAAAAGTACGGGCTGTTGACGAGGCTAGGTGGGCACGGGGAAGCTGCAGGAAGGGCGAGAGCTGGAATTTTTGAAAAGGGGTTTCCTAGGGACTGGGGGGGGGAGGGGAGGAAGCGAGTGGCTACTGTTGGTAGATCTACCCCCTGCCAAAACTGTGATGCTTCTTTGGCAGAATGAAGTGCCAGGGTGTGGTAGTCTATAAGGGTTGTGATACTCTTCTGTTACCCTGGACAGAGGTCCCCATGCACCCATCTAGGCTGCACTGGCACAAAATTAGACCAACACAACTGCAAGTGGGAGTGCTTGAGAGCATCCGTTTTTCATTCTCAGAAACTGGAAGTCTTTTATTTGAAATTGTAAAATCTTATTGGAGAGAAGGACCATAGATGTCTTCCTGCCCGTGCTGAATTATTCTTAGTGAACATTCTTATAGCTTTATTTAGTTATATTGTATATGGCAAATAAAACAAATTCACTATCTTATCCATCTTCCAGAAAGCTCTGTGGATATACAGCTTAAACCCTCACAAACATTTCTTGTCGTCTTTGACATGGTTTAGGCTAAAGTTTAAGCAAAACAAGAACAAAAAATAGTGGGCTCATAGGTCGCAGTCAGTTTGGACTTTTAATATTGGCAGTAGACTGCTGCTGTTTAAGTTCAGTCTTGTGCAATAACTCTAGCTGACATACAGTAATATCTCTAAAAACATTCAGCGTTACAAATACAACCAATAGAAGAACAAGCAACAAACGAAATCAATCATACTCTGACTGGCAGGTTGGTGCTTCTTTGGGGACTCACCTATTAGCATAGAGATTGCCCTTTACATAGCATGTGATGTACCCCAGACTTTGAAAAGCCTGAGAATAAGTGGACTTAAAATTGATAAATTGAGGCTAGCAATCAGAATTTGAAAAGTGATGTGAGAAGTGAGAGCATGGGACAGAGTCTTCCTGGACAAGCAGTCTCAAGCTGATGACTTGAATGACTTACAGAAAGGATGAGGAGCTTGCCAGCTGTGACAGGAGGGGATGTTCTGTAAGACTTTGCTCCTGGAGCCTCTTGGTTTAGCTGATTAAAGCATAGGGTTACTCAAGTGAGGAATAAAATATGAAAGGATTGTTCCTACTCTCTGACAAATGGAGAGGAGACTGCATGGGTGGTAGCATTTCCCAGTGCTCTCAGCATTCTCAGCAATATCTACTCTGTCATTGCCGAGGGTTTGTAGGACAGCAGTGTGTATACTCCACTCCCTCCTCTGTCCCTTCCTTCCCTCTCCAGAGCACGAACAAGCAGTAATTCCCCTCCACTGAAGCCCAGGGACCTCACTCACACAAGCTTTCTTTGGGTATGTGGCAGCTGACTGCAAGGATTTGTGGCAAAAAAGCTGCTGCAGAATCCACAGGGATGCCCATGTGCCAGTGCTCGTGCATCCCGACTGCTAACCCCACACCTTCTCTACCAGCTGATGGCAGAGATGTTGCTGGTTGCAGAGGAATGTGGAGACCTGCCAGTGCTGGGTTCTGTTCCAGGTTTTAAGAAAGGAGTGTGCTGTACTGGTTACAGGATGTTCCTCATCTGCTTATCCCCTCTGAGCTAGTTTGACCTCTTCTGCCCCTGCTGTCTCTAGTCTATCTGTCTTCTAAGGCCCTCCACCTCCTCCCCACATAGCTTTTATCCTTGAATGAACTTAATTCTGTTTGGCATTCAAACAAAACACTTCCTTTCCTTCCTTGCTTCTCTGTGCCAATGGGAGAAGTATCAAAAGCAGAGGGCTGAGAGGCTTTCTGGCCTCTGTTCTGTGGCAGACAGGAGCTGAAATAAACTATTACTGAGAAATTTCTGCTGTGACATTGATCTGTGGAGGAAGCATGGGTCATTGTCCCCTAGAGATGGCCAGTGTGCAGGATGGGTAGCACACCGTAGATGGGCCAGGGCAAAGCAGGCTCAGTGCTGGCATAAAGCATCTGCAGAGATGTAGAATTTGGAGAAGTCTCTGGGGAACACATGAGATATGAGAAAGCAGAGGTTGATAAATTTCAAAAGCATTGATGACCTGTGGTGTTTTGAGACCAGAATATCTACTATTATGTCCTGCGATATATAAAACAGTGATCTGCAAAACATTTCTGCCTAATTTAGTTCTTGGAAATAGCTGAAACATCACAATCCTGTTACTAACAATGAGCTCAAGACAGAATATCTGCATGGGGAAAACTCGGTTCAAATGGTGCCTACTTGGCAAAATTGTGAAGCCACCAAAATCAGAGGGATGCCAAAAATGAAAGCCTAAGCTACAGGTGGCACCACGTGGAGCATGTTTTGAAGTGATAGCTACAGTCTGCTGGATAAGCTGGAATAAGTAACAGCAATTCTTTAAATTTAAAAATCCAAAAATTAAATCACGTTTTATTTATTAAGTCATCAAAAAAGCACATTTTCCCAAGCTGAGTCACCCCAGCATGACTGTCCCTCCGACTAAAAAGGTTTTTACGCCACAGTCCCTGCTCCACTGATTTTTCTGCTGCCTTACTCATTACTGCTTCATCCTTTGCTGGCTTTCATGTGTAAGGATGACTGAAGCAAGGCAATGATCTGCCTGCATTTAACACTAAACATGGTGTGCTTTGAGGAGGTTCTTATCAGTCAGATGAGCTGCACCCAGATTTTCTGGGTGTGACTGAGAAAGAAGCAATAGAGAGAAAATAAACCTAGTGCAAGCCTATGTCTGGATACTTCTCCAAGATGAAATGCATCACGGTTAATGACTTCAACCAAGGAGACAGCAGAGTGGCATTGCTCCATATGCATCAGTGTACTTTACTTATCTTCCTCTTGCTCATTTATGGAGAGGTGCTCCCCAGCTCAGGACAGTCCTTTTAGAGAAGGCTGAGCCTTTCCCCACTGTGTAGACATTTGTTGCAATTAAGGGGTTTTTTTATCTCTAAATTTATCATCTTTAACTCTGTGTTGACTTTTCCAGGGTAGGTATGAGATTCAGGTGGACTTGAATGGGCCAAAATTGCTGTGCTCCACTTGCAAGGATGAAATAAGGGGTACTACCACAGCTTACAGCATTAGTGGCTTCAGAGTACCTGCTTCTTGGAGAAATCTTTGCATCCCCAAGGCTGCTGGCTTATGTGACTGGCGTTTGGAGTTCTCACGATACTTTTGAACCCTGTGTAGCTTAGGCCAGATTCTAGACCTCAGTTTGCACTTACCCCTATCTCCTTCTTTTCTGAGCCAGCTATGTTCAGACACTTCCCTGTGCAAAGCATCCTCCCACATCCATTCACAGCTCCAGTCTCCATTCCACATGGCTGGGCTTGGTCTCTGAGCCAGCAACTTCTCCCTAGCCATCCATGATTCTATTAACTGCTGCTGCCAGGAGTGAACTGTCCCAACACTAAGAAGGACTGCAGGCAGGGATTAGAGGACAGCCTTGGAGACTAAGGTATAACCATTAACCCAGCTCTGCCAAGTCCACTGCTAGACTGTGTCCCAATTGCCACAACTGCATGCCTTTTAAATACCTCTAGGGATGGTAATTCAACCACTTTCCTGGGAAGCCTGTTCCAATGCTTGGTAACTGATACAGGAAATAAATTTTTCCTGATAACCCAACTGTGTGCAACTTGAGACTATTTCCTCTTGCCATATCACTTGTTATCTGGGAGGAAAGACCAACCCCCACCTCACTACAATGTCCTTTCAAGTAGTTGTAGTGAGCAACAAAGTCTCCCAAAGCCGCCTTTTTTCCAGGTTAAACACTCTCAGCTCCCTCATCTGCTCCTCATAAGACTTGTGCTCCATATACACTTGTGCTGTGGAAAACAGTGTCAAAGGCTTTACTGAAGTCCAGGCAGACAACATCCACAGCCTTTCCCGCATCCACTAAGTGAATCACCTTTTCCTAGGAGGTGGGGTTAGTGGAGCAGGACCTGCCTTTCAAAACCCCATGCTGGCTGAGCCTGATCCCCTCATTTTCCTGCATATGCTGCATGATGGCACTCAAGATGATCTGCTCCATGACTTTCCCCAGCACCGATGTCAGGTTGACAGGCCTGTAGTTCCCCTGATCCCCCCTTTGGCCCTTCTTGTAGATGGATTTCACTTTTGCTAACTTCCAGTGCTCTGCCACCACCCCAGCTAGCCAGGACTCGGACAAATGATGTCCCATCATTGGAAGTGTTCCAGGCCAGGTTGGGTAGGGCTTCGAGTCACCTGATCTAGTGGAAGATGTCCTTGCTCAAGGCAAGGGGGTTGGAACTATATGTTCTTGTAAGGTCCCTTCTAACCCAAACCATTCTGTGACTATGGTTCTGTGAAAGTGTTTCAGTGAGCACTTCTTCCTGCTTTCTCAGAACCTGAGAAGGGCAGTGGCACTGGGTATATCTGTGGGATACTGAAAAGGATTGAGAGGCACAAGGAAGAATAGGAGCTGCCAGGAGCTATTAGTATAGACAGCACTCAATGTGATGGCTGCTGACTTCTCAAGAACCTGAATGTCCTTTACCTTGAGTGGGTTTAGTACATGTTGTTTTTGCATAACAAATTTTCCCAAATGACCTCTCAGGGTATTTGCTGTCAGGCCTGAGTGTGGTGGGCTGAGTGCTCTTTAAGAGGACCAGCTTTTTAAGGGATAAGATGTACTTTCAACTAATTGCCTGTGTGTTCAGGTTCTCATTTACCAACTTCCTGAGCAGTGGCCTTAGCAGGAGGGCAGAAGTACTTGTTGGAACTTTCAAGGAAACAATACAGAGAACAGACTGAAAGTTACCATCATAGAGAACAATCTATTTAAAATAACATTACTAACTATACTTTATTAGTTGGTAGACATGAGTTTTCTGAATAAGTAGCATATGTAAAGCTACTGCTTATACCAAATCCACAGCATGAAGTGTTTCTTCCAATGTTGTGTTTTGACATGAAATATATGGCTGAAGGTGGTCAGTGGCTACTGGAAGTGTGTCCTTTTCTGAAGACAGATAAACCTTCTTGTTCTTTTTCACCATCTTTTCCCCCGTGTAGTGGAAACATCAGTAGCAGTTAAGGATACAGACACTGAGGGCTGCCTGAAGTATTGGAAAATGCTGACTGGTGCAATGGCTGGTTATTGAGCGTGCTCTGTCCTTGTATGAATTAATAGTATTTTCCATACAAGAGAGAAGTGTGCATCTTGCCTGTTGTGCAATCCCAGGCACTCACATTTGTTTGCTTAAGGTTGTGGAGGTATGGACAGGCTACATCTCACACCCTTCACGGGACCTGTGTCTGTTAGTCTGTGGGAAGACTCCTGTGTGGGGGCTGCATTCCCTGGCTGCTTGTGCAACCCTTACCTTCTCCCTGTGGGCTCATCTTGTGGGGTGATGAGTGGCAGCAGCATGGCCATAAAGGTGGCTCTGGTTCCCAGAACCTGGGAGAGCCTTATGGGAGGTTTTCCTTTCCCTGAGGGGATGAGGGAGAAGGTGGTGTGGGATGAAGAGAGATATGCCCTACCAACAGCCCGTGGAAATCCCAGCCCTTGCCCACTGAAGGCTATTCCCCATCCTCAACTCCCTCAAATATGTTCCCCAGCATGTCCCTCACACTCCTACCTCCCTACTGCCTGCCTGTTGCCTGCAATAGAAATGGGTTTACCTGTGCAGCTTTGAGCAGCTCTTGCATTTCCAAAGCTACTGAGAAACCATTTCTTACTGAATAGACGTGCTTATGAAAGCAAAATTATTACCTGGTCCCTCGAGAGCTGAGAGACACATGCACAGTTTAAAGTCCACTGGCTTGCGCATGATATACTTTGCACCCCCAAAGGATGTGACTTTAAGCTTATTTCTGAACCCAGGAAGCCCAAAGGAATATTTTCTCAAAGGAATATATTCTTGAAATATCTACCTACCCCTCCATCCTGGTCTTTGGTAAATCTCTTTCATTCTGCTGGTGAAAATCATTATTTAAAATGCAGTTCAAAAAAACCTCTAAACAGATGAATGGAAGGAAAAAGTACCCATGATGTCAGCAAAATAGATACTAATAGACAGATATCAAAGGGATACTGCCTTCAGCTACACACTTGAAATACTGATGACGTCAATCTGGGGCACATTTTAGCCTCCTATGCTTTGCCTTTAGGAGGCTGAAGTACATTACATATAATTGGTTCCACCTACATAGAATTTGTTGAGGAGAAAAGCAACAAGATTGCAGGTTCTCACCACGTCTATAGGCACAAGACATATTTCTGACACCCCAGCAGCAAT